CCCCCACCCTTCCCCAACCTGTCTACAATGAATTTTTACTAAAACGGTAGTGCCTAGGAGGGGGGGGCGCCTACTACTACTACTACTACTACTACAACAGTGTTGGCTCTACCGTCCTGACACTCCAGCTGAGGCCACAGCTTCTGGAGCTCTTTGCAGAAATCGAGGCCAGACAAAACATGGTGGAGGTCTCAAAGCTTACTGGTTCTTAGCAGGGAATATGGAAATATATTATATAGGGGCTTCATAATGTCAACGGACTGGTGTACCCACAAACTAGACCGCACCCTGCCTGGATATTCCGTTTGAGACAGTGGGTCGCAGTGGCAACAGCTTCCGGATCAAGTTTTCTCAAGCCTGCAGCTTGCACGGAAGCTCGAGTCGATGACGACTGGTATTGCACTGATAAGTGGCATACTTTCATATTCACTTATAGTATACTGCGTATACTACGACTGAAGCGCGCCTCAGAACCGCGTTCTAGTTCTTCAGTTCTTCACCCCCAATGCACAGTGATCTGAGATACCAGGAATTGTCCACCAGTGGATCTTTGCCCCTCCGGCTCCGATTCTTGCGGCTCAGTCTGCAGACCAATAAATCTTGATATTTCTTGAGCCTGAAGAAGTCTTAGTGTGATTCCCTTTTCAGTCTTTATACTTTATACCCCAACAGTAAATTCCCAACTCGACAAGCAAAATCCATTCCGAGCAAGAAACGTCTTACACCTGCAACGGGATGCGGCGAGGACTCTTTAAGTTGCAAGGACGAGCTTTCTTTGACCCTCGCAGTCTTTTAATTTGATGCCACGCGTTGGCATTGCCAAGAACGCCTGCCTGCCAACAATTCAGACATGATGGGCCGGCTCAACATCTCAGACAGGATCTTGGACTCAGTGTCCTGAATTGTTACGCGAAGCAACAGCTATCTAGTTAGACCAAATGCCAGGATAGCAGACACCCGGCTAAACGGATCCCGGCAATGGCGAACCTTACCACCAGCTTACCTTCATCATCATTGCCTTGTGCTGTCGTTTTTTCACTGTCGCCTTCAGTTTGGTGATCTTGTTGCCTTGGTGTTAGGGCCAGGCCAGAATGCAAGCCTGACGCCTGTCTGACTCCCAGGTTCCTGAGGCCCGGAGGCTACTATTACCATTGCTATTACTTTTGTTCTTACTACTACTATTGCTATTACTATTTATAGAATTACTATGCTATTGCCATAAGTCTCACTATTATTATTGCTATTACTACTGCTATTACTATTCTTCTTACTGTTACTGTTAGCGTGTCCTGAGGTTGAGGGATCTGCTGGAGCTGCGAGCAGCCGGATGGCAGTCAGCGAGGTCAGCGGGAGGATTTGTCAGTCTACTTACTGGTTCTAAGTTTTTTTTTTGGAATGGAGTCAGCCTGTCTACAGCTCTGTCTATCTGCGCCTGTGATAGCGCTTGCACACCCTCATGAGGCCAGATGACTGTACTCGGCATAGGGGGGCTTTGCATCTGCAAAGTTTGCAGCTTATCTTGCCATCAGGCCCATTTTCCAGAACATGACTAGGATGCAGAGTTTCAATGCATCTGACAATTCGCAAGGGAACAAGGGAACAAAATCCCTGTTTCATCCACATATAATACAGAGTGTTTGGGGTATGGAATGAGGGAATATATTATATAGGGATTATACAGGGATCATATTCCCCTATTCCCTACCAAGAGCCAGGAAGTCCATTGGGCTGGGGCGGGAAGGATTGTAAACGACTTTCTTGGTGTTATGGCATGCGTTGACCATCTACTTGAAACCTAAGGAAGCGTTCTTGTCCAGGTTGGCAGTGGCTTGTTATTGTTGGCAATGCATTGTTATCAGTCATCAGTGATATCCAGAATGTAGAACCTTAGGCTATCTTGGTTCCTTGTCCCAAATGAGCAGCACATCTCATTGCAGACGCATGAAGCCGTTCTAGCAATGTTCACTCATGAGGAGCTACGGGGTCTCAGCCAGGAGGCACAAAGGGGCAATACAGCATTAGAAAAGAGGCAAGCAAGGCTTCAACGAGGATTTGTATCCCCTGACTTCATGACTCACTCGACCTACTTACACCGCTCATTGGCATATATCAGGCGCCATTTACTTACTGGTTCTTAGAAGGGAGTATGGGATCATATAGATAAATAATTTAGTATATTCTCTGATTCCCTACTATACCCTCAATATACCCTATTCTAATGTAGTATTTTCCATGTTTTTCCATAACCCCTATACAACACAGCAAATTTGTTCATGTGTGGGCGGCTCTTCGGTGCCTCTCAGTGAAACTGTCTGAGCCCTGAGGCCGCCGCCAAAACCCTGCGAGGAGGCCAACTGCCTCCATTCAGACCACAGACATGCCCGCACCACAAGAGCTATGATTTCATAATGGGTGGTTACATAGGGGATTATATAGAGACTACTATAGAGGATATAGCCCGCACCACAAGCAACCGAATTGTTGAGACATTGAATCTAAAAGTTTAAAAGGAGAGGGGGCAAAGTGTTGCTTCTACGTGCAGAACGTTGATCCTTCAGAATCCTGGTATACTGGTTGTACAATAAATCTCCAAATCTTCTGGCAGTTTTGGCCATTGTGATCTCATACGAAAGATTCAGCAAGTAGACAGGGATAGCTGCCTAACATGCCAGCAGCATAGGTCCATGATCTTGCGTCCCATTGCTGTCAGCCTCTTTGCAGAGATCCTTTGAACGCTCAACCATGCTGAGTGTTTGTCCTTGTTGGACTTGCAGGTTGCTCCAGTGCTATTCGCAAGTTGCGTCTTGCATATGTTATCGCCATGAACTGGGCCGACACAGTCCGAACGAAGGATCAGAGTGGCTCTTGCAGCAGCATGATTCCCTTAATGGTAGCAGATTAGTGGACCAAACACAGGACAGTCGGAAATCATAACGGCTGACATCCTGAACCTGAATATCATACGTAAGCTTGTATCCGTATTCACTAGACAGGCGCAATCCCTTCAGCCTTTGGCCAAAAGGGCGTTTCTCAAAATCCCTATGAGGGACCGCCATAATCCCCCTATAAGGATCCTTAGAGCCCATAAGGGCGGCCCCTTGTGAGAAACCTCTTTTTTGACAGCTCCGCTGCGCAGGCGCGGACTTCGGGTGCCCGCGGGGGCCCTCAGAGAAATGTTATACCTGGCATCAGTATTTTCAGTATAAGTATTCTGTATTTCCAGGTTTGTATCATGCGTATTGCTGTACCCTTTTTGTTGTTATTGTACTGATGTATTATATATACACGCTTAGTGTTATTATCGGTTTTATATTTTGTGTGACTACTGAAAATACGGTTGCCGTTTGAATTTGATTGTTCTTACTATAAGATTGTCAGTAGACCTACAGCTATTGTTATCATTGTCCCGGTTATTACTGCTTTTCTTATTACATTCACCATTATTCGAGAGGTGCCGCCTTCCTTCCAGCAAGGTTTTGTGGCAGGCATATGCCCATGTGAGGTTCACGTAGAGACAGGTCTTGGGCGAAGTCGACTCGACGGTCTTTCATTTGTATGGGCTTTCCTTTGTCAGAATCGCCCCACCAAGGGTAAAACTGGGTACCAGGCTTTCTTGGACAGCCATGAAGCAAGACCCCCAAAAGAAGATGTGAAGGGCGCTTGTAATTCAGTATCTTACTAGGCTTGTATGGAGATCACCTAGACATGTCTTTGCATAGGACTGGAGACGCATGCAGATGCGTTTTGCAGGGAAATGCATCTCTTTGGGTAGCTCCCTCTCAGGCTTCTACACAGCCATCAGAAGCAGTTTCAACATGAGGGCCCTGCAAACTCTGCAACATGCTAGCAAATCATAGGCAGCTACCCGCCTGGAAGTACGCGCATCATCATCCTGCTCACTACTGTCATGACCATCTTGACATATCTTGACCCACACTGGGCTCAGCGGGCAACCAACATGAGGGATACAATCTCAGGCCAATGCCTAATGTTCTCAAGAATAGCATCATACTGATCAGCTGGGCCAGGTGCTCTCACGGCCTAACACGTGTAATCTTTCATTCCGGAGTGTCATGACGAGTCCTGGTGTAGCACCCGCCACAGGTCCACAGTCAACCAGGCAGCTTCCCACGACGTCTGCAAGTACCAGTTTGGCACCGAGCAGCTATCCTGCACTTCGTGAATGACTGTTGGTGTCTGTGCCCTCATATATATAGAATCGTAGAATAGATTCGAAGGGTTTCTAGCCGTATCATGTCCGTCCAAGGGAAGGTGATCGCGGCAAGGACTGGGATTTCTGATCATTCTACAAGGTGCCCTTGCAGAGGTATACTGCAGGTCTTCCCCGGGAGAGTGCTCACACCTCCACCAAAAGTAAGCCGTGGATGGGTCTAAAGCCATGAAAAGTTCTATGGTGTGCATCGTTGACGTCTGTTTTGTTACAAGGTTTGAAGGCTTCGGCCGTGAAACAATTTCATGCACTGGTGACTCTACGTACGGCAGCCATCCCGTAGGCTAAACACGTCCGGAAGCATATCCTGCAGGTCCCAATGATTCGTGTTCTAGTGCAGCTCTATACCATACATGTGGACGACGCAGACTCCAGGGTTGCGATTTGTTTGTTTGTTAAATTGCGGCGAAGAAGATTCACCTCAAGTCGGACAGATTCCGGCCCGCATGCATACATGCGTTGCTGCAAGCTAGGCATTTGATTCTACTCGGAGGTGCGAAGCTTGAGAGCAAAATGTGGTAGAAGCTGTGCTGATTGAAGATGACATCGCGGATTTGTGAAATGGCGATATGCGGTGGGGCTTCTGCACCTGCCGCTGCGGACAGTGGCAAACAGTTTTCACACAACATCGCTTGCCAATGTGGAACTGAATACTCCACAGTATTTGTTACCTAGGTAACAGCATGCCGTTTCTTTAGTAGGCAGCGTGAAAGCAGAAGTTAGCCCGCTTCCGTTTGTGCAAGCATGTTCTCTCCGAAGAGGTGGTTTGTAGCGTGTCTGTGCGTTTTCCTTGTGCAGTGTATGGCGTTGTTGGTATGGGAGCCCAGCTATCTCATCAATGAAGGCGTTGACCATTGCAGTCTGCACATGCAGTAATTGCTGGCCGACGATAATAAGCGATATGAGCCGCACCAGACAGAGTCGTGTTGCTTGCGCACTTCCAATCCGGCATGCGTGAGGGACGGTAGTATTGGGGTTGATGATGGTGGTAGTCTTGGCGGTGGCTATGGCGGCGCTGTTATTGGCGGGGCTCTTGTCATATCGGGCGCCACGAAAAAGAATTGAAGTGGACACTTGCAAGTATTTTCTTGTTTGAGTTTATGTTCGCAACGCAAGTCCAGGGTCAGTCTACATGAGAAACAGGAGCAGAAGCTATAGGATAAAGAAATATCTACGTTGAAGACAGCCACATCGACGCCCAAAACCCAAGAGTGATTTTTTCGTATGCTTTGCCGAAGAAGTTTTCTGCTACTTTTGTGGTGAGCCTGCTGTTTATCTTGAAAAGTCGACTTGCCCTTCACATACTGGCTTGATGGCAGTGAGGCTACGTGGAAACCGAATCGCGTGACGTCTTTCTGCCTGAAGATTACGCTTTAATCGCGCAGCGTGTCTTACCCTGGAATTCGGTTCTTGGCAAGGTTTGCTGCGCAAGATTAGTTGGACGAGCACAATTTCGAGCTAACATTGAACTTTCACGCCCTACAAACATTGCTGCCGCATTTGAACAATGTTGCAGAAGGTTCCGCTTCTTGCAGCGGAAGTCAAGGCATTCTTTGGGTTACGCGCCACCACCCCACCCAGTAGTTGGAATATTCAGGCACCCTTAATATAATTAGTTGCCGGATTGCCTTGTGGTCGCTAGTACAGTAATGGGTGCGGACGAACCTACGGCATGCATGTTTTAAGCGTTTGGTCACTGGTCTGTTCAAATGCTGACGCGACGCGAAACCTGAGCAGGGTTTTCGCTGTACGCAAGCTTTGCAAAGTTACGTGACAGGATGGATGTAATTATGAATTGGAAAACCCCGTGCTGGAAACATGCTCTTTTTCAAGGTCCGGAACAGAAGACCCTTCAACCATGAATGTTGGATGCCTAAGTTACTTTCGCCGGACCATCCATACGTCCGTATATAGTAAACCCAAGCCACGCAAAGGGAGGGCGGATTTTCGCAACAGTTTCAGGCACAACCCCTACCTCATCAATGGGCTTATGTTTTTTGGAGTTGAATTCGCCAAGTCCAACATTGACTCTTGCTTGCTTGGCCTGAAATGTTTGGCTCCTGGCTCTGTCTCAGCTTTTGATTCATACAAGACCACAGGACCCTGAACGTTCTCTCACAAAATAGGTGTCCTCGAGGATCCTCGGGCTGTATAAAGGTTAGATGGGAATGATGGAGGCCCGCCTTAATAATCTCGTGCGGTTTCAACATTAACGCCTTACCACAAAAGTCATGTCGCTCAAGCCACGCTGTTCTCCAAGCTTTGCCATTCCTTGGTCCCCAAATTCTCATAATAAAGCTTGTGGAAGAGCATCCTGTTGGAAACCAAGGCCTTTGTTCAGTAATTGCAGTATTAGTGCATCCTTGATCTAGTGCGAGCTTTGACGCATCTCAGGTCTTCCGCCACATTGTCAAAACAATTTGGAAATAGGGCTTTGAAGTTGAAGTGGGACTGAAACCATCGACCAGAAGAGAAGACTGCGTAAGTATCCTTCCATTTGTCTCTACGTTGTCTCTCTCTGCAGAGACATTTGTGATGATTGCAAGTAGAGTCATATCAACGGTTCTCATGGTGATGGTAATGTTTCGCTATTGCTGCTGGGTGTCATTTGATATGCTCACTCAGACATTGCCAGTGTTTGTTGCAGATTGTCAACATAGATGCCTAGTCGTTCTGCTGCCGCTACTGCCTTCTACTTATGATTATTAGTTTTGTTTGCACTAGTAGGCTGCGTTTTTTCTGTCTCCTTTCGGCCTGTCCTGAAATGTAGCCTGCAGATCCAACTCAGGAGACAAGGCGTCGGGCTTTGATCAGGTCGCCTTTCGGCGCCTGCTCGCGGCCCAGGGCCTCAGATTACTGTCAAGAGTGCGGGGTGCTGTGGCTGGTGTCAGGCTTCTGCCATGCTTGTTGCAGGAAGGCCTTCTTCACGATTCTACGGTCGTTTTGTTAGATGACGGTACTGCTTTCTAAGGCCCAGATGTGTGTTGACAAGCCAATTACTACTTTAGCATGAGCCTTTACTTTCGACAGTTGAGCCCGAAAACACCTGCAACAGTTTCGGAGGGTTCCTTTTCGGCAGCCACGAATCCTTCGACAAATCGAGAAATGCCTACGCTCCCTTTCCAAATGCAAGACACCAGACAAAGACATGACTTTAGATGGAATATGTTCATCACGCATACTCAAGCTCCGAATATACAACGGGTGTGTCAAATGCTTAGGCCGGCTCATTGAGAAGACCATGCCCAGAAATACAACCCTTCAGCTTCTCCTCCTTAAGCACAGGGCCCGTGTATTAGATTGGGGCTGTCAAAAAAGACAGCCCTCTTTTTGGGTCTCCTGTGTAGTACGGCCCCCACTATTTCGATTTACCCAAAAGGCTTATACCTAGACCGCGAAAGTTTGTAGAACGATGGCCCGAAACTTCCTTAAACAGCCCTAAAGGCTATTATTCTACATACTTTGAGAGCCCAGGTAATTTTCACAACCTGCCGAGTATTTGAAAATAACTAAGTCCTAAACCTTAAAATGCGAAATATTAATTTCAATTTTCTTTTCCATTTTCCCTGTATAATCCTAGATATTAGCCCCCTAGACCCACAAAATCCTTGAAAGCCTGAGTCCACAGGGCACCCTGCGGGATCTCCGGGCAGATCGCGATGCCAAAAAGGTGGCTTCAGCTTTGATCATGATTTGTGCGGCTGTTTTTTTTTATATTATCACTGTTAGTACAAAGTGTTTTTAGCATGATTTCTATTATTGGCATTTTAGCAAGCATAAACATTTTTTGGCATCACTGTCGTTACGCTGTGTTTTCTGCTCACTGGCACTATTCTTGTAAACTGATTCTCGTTGTTGGTGTTATTGTCATTGTTACTGTTGATATGATTATAGTTATTGTTGTTACTATTGTTCTACAATTCCTGTTCTTTGTTGTTCTTGTTGCCATAACTACTACTGTTAGTGCGATGGTTATTCTCATTATTGTACTACGGTATTCTTAGAGAAGCTCATTGTCCATACCAACTATGTGAAGCTCCATATGTGTATCAAGGAGCGCCTAAAAAGGGTGCAGCTTCATATTTGTGTCTGGCTACTTCGTTAGTCAGTGCAAGTCGTGGGCGTGAACACAGAATCTCGAGGTTCTGGTGAAGCAGGTCCCCAATAACAAGCCTCTGAAAAGCCTCATTGCTTAGGCATGGCGAGTGAACTACGTGGGGTCCCACGCGCTGGTTGTATGAGCACCCAAGTAGCTGCGTGAGAATCTTATTGGAGAAGTCTGAAGAGCGATTAAAATCACGTTCGGCTCCTTGCAGTGTGCATGACCCTCAATTGTATTGCCTATAGTCATGAAGAGACTGCGAAGCCCTTAATTCCTCTACCCCGCACCTGCCACCCGCAGACCTAGAGCCATCACATCCCATAAAACCTGAGCCGAGCCCTATCCGGAGGCGCTTGGGCGCCTGAAGGCAGCTGCGGTCCCCCGGAGACTGCAGGCCTCATCGGCATTCATCGATCCGGTCACATGGGAGTCCTCTCCATTCTGAGATCAGGAGTATGGAGCACTTGTAGACCGAGCTAGGCTTGGTGTTTTTGGAGCCGCTTTTCTTGCCTCCTGTTAGAAGGGATTGAAGCAATGTATTTTTCTTTCCTGGGTGTTGTAACTTAAGCTTGTCTGGACTGTTCAGCCGGAACTGCGTGTTTGAGTCATCTTTAACCCTTTACCGCCTTAAGAAGCTGGTGCGCAGGGAGCTAAGAATGCGAGACAGGATTCTGATACATGGTTAAGCCTAAGCAGGTTGATGTACGCAACTTCGACTACGGTTCATGGGGGTTGATGTTGGGTCGATGCGGTTTGATGTTGAGGCTGGGGCTTTCAGTGCGGGCTTGGGATTCCACTTGAGCTAAGCGGCTCGGAGGGGTTTGTAGTTTTGGGTCGGTTCCTGGGAACAACAGCCTGATGCAACCCGCTCTTAGACATCCGCTATGTCCGGGAGGGCACTCCTCTAGACGAACCGGCACATGAACAGGAGGCCCTTTTGGACCCACATGCGATGGGTCACTGTTCAACGAGCTCTGGTTTTGGGCTTGGGGTGCACAAGTTTTCAATTTCGCAACAGGAGCCGGTCTCCCAAAACGCACATCTATGAGCCATAGTCCTCATGTGTGCAAGGACCCCCAAAACCAGGAAAATGAACTTTTGAGACGCTCCTCCAGTGCAGATTTCTGTTATCATCTCCGTACACCTCACACCATCCGCGCTTTGAAACATGAAACCACTTAAGAAGCTTCGAGTTGAGGGGTCATTATCCCCCCAACATGGGAGAGCCAAATGGAAAAGAACATGAAACATGAAATGGAAACTGGGGTTATGTAGGGGTTGATGGGGGTTTTAGGGGGGTCCACAAATTAGCTGTCCCTGTTTGGGAGTCCTTATACACAGGATTATAGTATTTTGACGTCTACATTGGGTCCCGTATTTCACGGAAGTTGCCAGCATCGCCGTGAGGCCACGGAGTTCTCTGACATGATCACACGCGTCGCGGAGGACAGTTTGAAAGTAGGATATAGGGTCTAGGGCTATAGGGTTTAGGGTTTGGGGTTCAGGGTTCTAGGTTGGGTATATTGGGATTATATAGGCTTGAGGGATACACAACCCAAACAATGGAGAGCCAAATGAAAAAGAGAATGGGAAATTCAATGAAACGGGCGTTACATAGGAGCTTCTAGGGTTTGTAATGAATGAGCCTAAATACCTACCAATTGGGTCATTGCCCCTCACAGTAGCTGTCCCTCACAGTAGCTGTCCTTACAGTATCAAGCGGCCATCAGCTCCTAAACTACCCGTGCTGGTACAGTAACTGGTACTCTGAGGGGGCATCTCTAGAGTTGTATAAGGATATGTAGGTGTCAAGGATGAGGGTTTAAAGTTTGGGGAATAAGCTAGAAGCCTGGACACTTACGAGACGTAGTTTCAACCATACAACCCTTGCGTAGTTGGCGTAGGAGGTACCCGGAAGCATTGTTCTAATTGTTTAGGCTTCTGCATTCGGGTCCAAGGTCTCCAGGCAACCCCATGCAGGTTTAGGGTTTAGGGGTTTAGGGTTTAGGGGTTTAGGGTTTAGGGGACGTTCTCCTGTGTAGTGCCTAGTTTGAACCTGTGCGAGGATGCGTCTGGGCCTGCCAGGCGTGCGTCCTTCGCTGTGCTGCTTGGTCTGAGCCTGGGGAAGGCGCGCTGCACAAGTTTAGTATAGGGGTTAAAGATACCCCATAATATCTATTGGGTACTGCCCCCTCCCAGTAACAGTCTATATTAGGGGTCCTATTAAGGGCTATATATAACCATATTACATTTATTATCCAACTGTTACTGAGGGGGGGAGTACCCAAGGTATATAGGAATAATGGAAATGAAGATGGAAGCGACAATCAGGGTTTAGGGTTGCGGGTTGAGGGTTCAAGGCCCGTTGAGGGCATGGGGATTCAGGGTTCAAGGGTCTGAGGATGCAGCGCTCTTTTGGATTTTTTGGTTCCTCCTCGCCAAGATATGCAATTTCTTGCTTGTCTGTGTGAAGTCGATCTTTAAAGGTCTCTGATTAGGGGTCTAAGAGGGCTGGAGCGTTGGGGCAAACGCAGAAGCCCCAGATAGTGTTCTCGTGCAAGTCCTACTATCCAGATCAGCCTGGTGCATTGTGACCATGAGATTACTTCACGAGACCTGACTTTTGTCGAGATTCGGAGATTGAATTAACCCTCAAGCTGCAATATGTGGGAGTTTTCAATATGATCCCTGAAAAAATGCTTACAGGGGACCCCGTACTGAGCCATACTGCAGCTCATGATCCTCAAGTATGCGCCTGTCCCTAAGAGTACTGTACCCCAACTTGAGAAACACCCAAATGTATCCTCCGCCTCAGGACAGCGCGTGCCCCGGGCTTGCTTGATGACTGCGCAGCCGTTCAGCCAGTTGTGCAGAGTGCAGCCCAATATAGTGAGCTTTTTGCTTTCGAAACATGAGCTTCTTCCATACACCCAAAACCCTATCCCCCAAGATGTTGTTGTTCCTGGTTAGAGGCCTTTGACAACATAACCCTAATATAATCCCA